GTATGCCTTTTATTAGTGCTAAATTGGCATGAGTAGGATACATCGGCTTGGCACCATTTAAGGCACTCAGGTTTTGTACTTTGTTATACTTTTCTCTGTAGAATTAGCGAAGCTCCTATGAAAGTCAAACACATACATGTATTACCAATACATTTAGATGTTTGAATATTTTGTATTATATTGTTTTTATAAGACAATATATTAATGGTATCTTATTTTATTATTATTGAATCAATGAGTGAATGAATTAATTCAATGAGCTAGTTAATTAGTGTCAAGTAATATTTTAACATTAAAACTTAAATTAATAGTCTTTCTATGGATTTAATCTAGTAAATAAAGAAAATATTCTCTGTTTGCCATTTTTAATATGTATAACATTTATATACACAAAATAAACAAAAAATGTAATTTTAAAGTGTTTTATTTCCACATAAAAATGGTACATACTTATTTAAATAAAAATATTTTAATAATGGTATATTTTTATCCCAGCCTTCTTCATAATTGACATCGTATATGATTGATTCTGAAGGAGTCGAAATCACTAAGTGACACACCTTTATTTTTGTTAAATACAGGTTGCCTTGTATTTGATGGTAATAATTGTGTTCTCTATTTAATACTACCTCGTTTTTTTATTTAAATAGATGATATAGTTTTTATCATTTATATCATTAATCAATGATTTGGACTCCCTCAACTTATAAGGGCACTTCACCTCAACAATAGAATTATTACCACATAAGCCATCAGGGCTGCCTCCAAGAAATCCACATTTATCTAGCCATATTCCTGTGGGAACAACAGTAGTGTTTCGATTTTTCTCGAATACAGAAATTCCATTACCCTCATGCTCTTTTCTCCATTTTATGGCCTTTACTCCATCCAAAGTATAGCTTTCTGAAAAAATAAAAAGGAATATACTTTTGTTTTATCACTTTATTGTCTAAAAATTCACGTCACTTTATTATTTATGGTTCAAAATTTTAAATCAATGTAATGTAATTAATATATTTAAATATTTTAAATTTATTTATAAAATATGTTACCTGTCAGTCTTTTAAACAAGGATGCTGGGAATCTATTCCTCTTTATGGCTGACAAAACAATTCCAAAATTGCTGAAAGTTAGCCTATTTTTCCTCGTTATCAGATATGTTGCATTTGATGACTGCCCCACAGTTTTCCCACATATTTCATTTATTTTGATTTGAGAAATATTTAGGTGTTTTGAAAGATATGACACTTTATCATCTGCATCGAGGTGTTGTTGGGAAAATACAACATTCTCTACATCTATTATGTCCTCTGGGACAACGGGTTCCTTTTTAAGGAGCCATGTACATCCAACAACATTTTCAAATGACCCTAGATTGTCTCTAATTCTGTCAAATGGATCACAGTTAATAGGTCCACTGATAGTTTGATATGCCTTTCCCCCATATAGCTCATCGATAGTTTTTACAATAGCAGACTTAAGTTCTCCATTCAACAACACATGATATTTTCAACCATGTCCTACCATCCATCAATTAATAGAGTACCGGCATCATTTGTTTAACTTTGTATCGAGACCTGAAGATGCTTTGCATATTATAGAAAGCGAAACCGGTCGTCTGATAGTTAAATTAAATTGATTGTGAGTAAGTCTTATTTATTATTTCTTTACCTATTTGAAATGGACTCACACAAGCAACACATTCATGATTTTATAAAATAAATACTTGTAAGGACTTACTTTTGTATCACCTTTCTTACCGGGACGGATACTTTTCAGGAACTCAAGTTTCTTCATTGACTTAAAGAATGTATGATTTAAATAAGTTACATTATATTTTTTGGGGATCTTTCGGGCAGATAGACATATTCCCAAATAATCTGCTGGCACGTTGATTGTTTTGTTTTTTAAACACCTTTCAATTGTGGAATGCATGGAGTCTGCCTCCATTTGGGTGTGCCCAACTTTTAAGTACTTTTGCTCAATAGTAATGTTTTCCTTTACAGCTGTATTAAGTAAGGCGTTTGAGACAGTTACGTTTCTGTTTTGGTAGAATTTTTGTGTCTCCGTAATCAGTAGTTCGATCAAGTGTAGGCAAAATTTTGTTGGTGATAAAGTCGAAAAAGATGATGGCAAACTCTTCTGCAGAAACATTACCTTCCGTCTCATTCCAAATGTAACAAAATCCATCTTTAGTCCTTAAGTTATGGAAACAAAGATTGTGTACGCACAATTTTGTTTTATAGTAAAGGCTCGAAACTTTTGATTTAGGAGCCATCAGTACAGCTTGTAGTACACATGGGTAGCGGGTAGACACTCTTTACGATCCCGGTAAAGACAGGTCTGCTTAGGGATGCGCCCCTGCCCACGCGAGCTCGGCTTTTTCTCCCAATCCTCTTCCGGGAGAGAAGCGGATCCTAATCCCTAAATCCTACCCACCAACCCAGACCTACCCAAATCCTTTCCTTCCCTCCTCAACCCGCACTGGACCAGCGTGAGGAGATAACCGTCCAAACCTTCAAGTCAATGTACAGGACAAAAAAGAAAAGGCCCCCAGTGCGCAGCACTTCCCAGAGTCTTGATCACGGCAGCGATCAAACAACTAAGGGAAGGGGGGGTGCTAAGAATCCCTGGGTAAGACCCGGCTACCACAAGATGACAATTTGGCTATGCTCCTACAATATTCGAACACTGACGGACGACAATAGATTCCCAGAAATAGAAAGTGAACTAAAGGATATAAAATGGGATATCCTAGGTATATGCGAGACCAGAAGAAAAAGTGATGAGTATATAATACTAAAAAATGGCACACATTTTATGCATAAAGGTGGCGAATACACTGGAGTGGGATTCTTGGTAAAACAAAGCCTCACACAGTGTATCGAAGAATTCAAGCCCATATCAGACAGAGTAGCATATCTCATCATCAGGATTAATAAAAGAACCACTCTGAAAGTGATCCAAGTGTACGCTCCGACCAAAAGCCACGACGATGAAGAAGTAGAAATATTTTATGATGAGATAAGAACAGCTATAGAAACAAAAAAAGCAAATTTCGAAATACTATTAGGAGATTTTAATGCTAAATTGGACAAAAAAGAGGAAGATTATGAACATTTAATTGGTAACTATGGCTACGGGAAAAGAAATGATAGAGGAGAAATGCTTCTCAATTTCATGAATGAACATAACATGTACTCAATGAACTCCTTTTTCAATAAAAAACCAAGCAGAAAATGGACATGGATGAGTCCCGATAAAAAGACAAAGAATGAAATAGATTATATCTTAACGAAGAATAGAAACCTAGTAGAAGACGTATCAGTATTAAATCAGTTTGACCTAGGAAGCGATCATAGACTAATAAGAACAAAACTAATAATTAACAAAAAACTAGAAAGAAAAAGAATACATGAAAAAAGATACAAATGGACATCTGAAGAAATCAAAAATAGTGAATTTAATAAAAAGATAGTGCATGCATTAAATCAAGTTAGCATGCAGCAGATAAACTCCAATGATATTGATGATTTGAATAACCTTATTACCGAAACAGTGAATAATAGCGTTCTGCAACTGAAAAAACCAAAAACAACATACAATGAATTAGACAAAGAAATATTACAACAAATAGTAATAAGGAAGATCTTAAATAAATCTAACAAAAGGGGAACCGACGAATATAGAGAAATTAATAGGCAGATTAGAAAAGGAATCAGACAACAAAAAAGAAAAGAAAACGAAAAATTAATAACAACAACTATTGAAAAAAATAAGAGTATGAAATGCCTCAGACCGACACTAGGACGACGTCAGATGATATCATTAATAGGAAAAGACGAAAATAAAATCACAAGTAGAGAAAACATACTGACACGAATAGAAGAATTTTACACAGAACTTTACAGATCACATCAACAAGATGATGAGATGAGACCAGCACGGAAATTAATAAAAAATGTTGGATCAGAAATAATGCCAAAAGTAACAATTTCAGAGGTAACTACAGCATTGGAAAACATGAAGAGAAATAAAGCTGCAGGAGAAGATAGTATTACCACAGATATGATATTAGAAGGAGGTAAGGAACTAATTGCAATTGTAACTAAGCTTGTGGACAGTTTTTTACATCAGGGCAAAGTCCCTAAGAGCTGGAACAACTCTAAAGTAATCTTATTACACAAGAAAGGTGATAGTCGAAAATTGGAAAACTACAGACCCATCAGCCTACTGTCACACCTGTTTAAAATACTCACCAAAGTCATAACTACTCGACTAACAAGGAAATTAGACGAATACCAAACATATGAACAGGCAGGTTTTAGAAAAGGCTATTCAACTTCCGATCACCTGTTAACCACAAAAATATTAATAGAAAAATGTAACGAATACAAGTTTCCAGTTTTCCTAGCATTTGTAGACTACGAAAAAGCTTTCGCTACCATAGAACACACGGCCGTTATAAACGAATTACGGTGCAGTAACCCCGGAGGTCAGGTTTGGTGGATTCCCACTTTCTCGTTATTACGAATTTCTTTATATATTGCGTTAGAACATAATGGAGTTTTAAATTGTTTTATCGCATATGTTTTCTTATTAACTTTGTGCACAGCTTTGCATACTATCCCAAAGCTCCCTTCTCCTACTTTTACAGGAGCTCTGTAAATCTGTTGAAGGTAAGGTGACCCGAGGGATGGGTCATATGTAACATCTAGGCTAACTAAAATAAAAAAAACATATTTAGTTAATTAAGTGTTAGGTTAGACCATAGGATCTGCTAATACAATAACGACCTCTGCAAGTGGTATATATAAATATTTATAAGAAATACTGGATATCAGTGACTGTCGATATAAACAAACAACACAGTTTATTAGGGCTGCAGTCAGAAGTTTGGCCGGCCAATCAACACTTTGTCAGCATTTAATTTTTATATAATTCGATACCATAGAACACACGGCCGTAATAAACGAATTACGGTGCAGTAACCCCGGAGGTCAGGTTTGGTGGATTCCCACTTTCTCGTTATTACGAATTTCTTTATATATTGCGTTAGAACATAATGGAGTTTTAAATTGTTTGCATACTATCCCAAAGCTCCCGTCTCCTACTTTTACAGGAGCTCTGTAAATCTGTTGAAGGTAAGGTGACCCGAGGGATTTGTCATATGTAACATCTAGGCTAACTAAAATTAAAAAAAAAACATATTTAGTTAATTAAGTGTTAGGTTAGACCATAGGATCTGCTAATACAATAACGACCTCTGCAAGTGGTATATATAAATATTTATAAGAAATACTGGATATCAGTGACTGTCGGCAATGCTTGACATGCTTTTGTTAAGCTCCCTTAACTCTAATGTAATTTCTCCTAATTCCGTCAAGCTCTCCTGCATTAGCTCATTCTCAACATCTTGTATTTTCCTTTTTTTTTTTGTTGGATGGGGAAGTTTAGAATATCCATGGTCAGAAACCTGTAAAAAATATTTACATGATGACTTGGTATAGGTGCATGTACAGAGCTTACCTCTATAGATTTATGTTTAAATTTAGATGTCTGAATACTACTTGTAGAAGCAACCTAGAAAAAATATTGAGAATTTATCAATGTAGTTACATACCGGTAAATGGATAGGTGTGTCTTCCAAACTATTCTGGGGGAAAACATCTTTAGAGGTGGATAGGAAATCATCTTCACTGGTAGACGGAATCTGAAATTTTTTGAATATTTAGTATACTTAATAAATAAATAACAAACATGTGATTGATACATACTCCACACTCAGATACACTGACTCCTTCATAAAAAGTTTTTCCCAATATATTAATAACCCGTTCCTCTAATTGGTTTAGTTCGGGCTTCACTTTTGGCCCTCCACCAGTGACTGCAATATCTTGCTTTTTCGCAGAGGCCTTCCTTTTGATTGAATATTTAATATCTGACCAAGTCTATAATAAAAAAATACATAAAAATAATTAATGGAGAAACCATACTTTGATATATTTAATCTAACCTTTTGCCATTTCTCAACAGGCTTACTTCCTTCGCCAAGTGAATTTAATAATTGAGCAAGCTCTTCCCAAAGTTTTCTCTGAATTATTCTTCCAGTGGGACCAGAGAACTGTCCCTTTACAAATTCTTTAAGCTGCTCCATAAACTCTAAAAGTACATTCCAATGACCCTCTGTTAATTTAAAAGACATGATAATAAAGTAAAGTAAGAAAAGTAGAGAAGAAAAACGTTAATGGTAAACCCAAGAAAATTTTTATTTTAACGAATTTTTATTATGACGTTGTCGCTGTCAAGTGTCTACAGAACAAATAGATTCGAATTTTAGAAGAAAGAGTGAGAGAGAGAGAGAGTAAATTTAAAAAGAGACACTACCATCGAATTGGCGATTCGATAGCGCTGTAGGTATCGTATGGTTTCTTCCATTTGAGTCGATACGAAACGTGACGAAAGTTGTTCGTAATCACTCCCTTCGGAAAAACATGGCGGATACGATTCGTATCGAGTGTTCGTAATCCCGCCGCAGAAGGCTGAAGAACCTTTTATATTCCACCAAAAAAAGTGAGAGAAAAAAAGAACCAAAAAAACTTACTGATAAGATATGGAATAGATCGGAATTTAAGTTTGACTATATAAAAAATGACCTTATGTTCTTTGCAAGTAAATGAAGGAAATTTTATATTTAAATTATTTCGGAACTCAAAAATAAATCTCTAAAGAAATACTAAACTGCAATGATGAATTTTATTGTATGATAAAGAGGTAATACGTATGAAATGATTTACTTACATGAAGCACAAAAAAAAATCCTTTTTATGTGGAACTCTAGATTAGGAAATCTTGATTTTTAAAAATTGTTTATTATTATTATTGAGATATGATTATTAAATTAGATATTATTTTATTCGTCCCAGATTATTTTACTGCTCCAATTCCGTCACTTTGAATTGACTGACGTGGCTGCGTAGTACGAGTCTGACCAGGAACTCAAAATTCTCGCACAAATTCGATCAGCCTTCCTTCCAAAGCGAGACCTGCGCGTAGCAGAAAATGTCGTTTGGAATCGATCGCGGGCGGGTGACACGAAATTTCTTAAGGGGTTTTATCAATACCATTTTTAACTTGTATTATTGGACTAATCAGTAGCGTAAACGCTACAAAGTACTACGTGCAAGTGTTCGAGCTTAAGAGACATGTAGTCCCTAAAGTAAATTTTAATTTTAAAAACAATTCCATTGTCATCGACCTAGAGTCTCAACATTATTAAATGTAAAATGTGATATTTTGTAAATCCACACATGGAAGTCTTATAGACACCTTATTGTTAGCACCAAATACAAAAGGCACTGAAGATGATCTGTATAGATTGAAAACGTTCTGCCAAAATTTTAAATGTTGACGACACTTTTATAAAGTTTTTAAGTACTTGTATGTTTTTATACCAAAATACACAATTGTGAAGTGTTTTAACTTCTGTGTTTTTAAACGATGGTATACAGCCAATTACGGGGTTTTTCCCATTAATTTTGGATTATCATTAGCTTGATTATACTTTTTGTTATGGTTTTTTTTTTCAATTTTTATATTTTATAATTTCCGTATTTTATTTTATATCTTTCTTATATCTAATCTTTGTTCAATTCAAAGTCGTTTATTTTGAGAATGGAATACCTATATTATATTAGAAATAGTATGTTTTTGTCTTATTTATAAAAATGTATTTGATTGTTTTAATTTTAAAATAAATGAGGGTTTTTCCCTCACTATGCTCAGACAATTTAAGCAAGTATGTCTTTACTGAGTACAAGGAGTTTCCCTCGTTTTAATTAACAGCATAACTAATAAACCAAGTATAAAACTTATACTCAGAATAAATCAGGTTTAGGCAAAATCACTACCAATAAACATGGAATAACTTAGATATAAGTTATACTTGGTATAAGAATTTATTCCAGGATTATACCGACCCGCGCCCTTGTTTAAGTCTGGTATAACCTATTTTATGAATGTCAAAGTCATAAGTGACAAGAATATATTATTTTTTGTATTGTTTTGTGAGTAGCTACAATTTATATATAATAAAAAAATGTGTTTAAGAGGTGTTGCGGCTGTCGAGGAAGTTGATAATTTAATTAACATGATGGAAAATATACGAAAAAGAAAAACTTTTAAAGAAAGAATAAATCCCTTTTCAAAATACACCGATAGAGAATTTAGAATAAAATATCGGTTTTCTAAAGATGGTGTAAGGTTTTTAGAAAATTTAATTGGTGATTCACTTATTGTGGACACGCGAGGAGGCGGTTTCTCCTCTACTCTACAGCTACTCACCGCGTTACGATATTGGGTCGCAATGAAGGGAGTATATTTATATGAATTGTTTTATCTAGATTATGTATATACAACTGCTATACTAAATAATTGTTAACACAAAAGTTTCTCTTGATTTTCTGTTTGTAGATTCAAGATGATGCAGCAGATATTCATGGCTTAACCCAGCAGTCTATCACTAATGTATGTCGTCGTGTTGCAAGAGCGATATTTTAGAAAAGATTTGATTAGGATCCTGTGTTCAACAATGAACCACTCAAAATTTAAAATTGTCTATATCAGTTCCCTTTTAACCTAGAAGCACGAAATTGTACCAGTATAAGTAACACATATTAGTAATATATTACACATAATTTGGTTAGCAATAAAAATTAATGTTTTTGAGTTATTATTGTTTTTTTCCTTTAAGTGCCGTTGGTTCATTGTGTCCCACGGGTGGTACACAATGAACTAGTGCTGCGTACGCAGTGAACCAAACTGCTTTATTTTAAACATACCTAATAAAAATTAGGTCTACAGAAACAACAGTAAGATTTCAAAGTTTTATTATATAAAAGCAAAATAATAGGTGAAAAGGACAATAAAATTGAAGATAGGTATAATTTCTATCTGATATTTAATAAAGAAAAAGACACTGTAAACGCAAAATAAGATTGTTGTCGTTTTGTGCTGCCACATAGTTTTGGTCTCGGCAAAATATATTTCACATCTTTCTTGTTGACGGAAGCTATATCAGGAACATTGGGCATAACAAACTGCTCACTATATTTATCCTTAAGTCTTAAAAATGATATGCGATATTCCCCATCTTGTTCTATCTGTAATATCTTCCCCACAAAATATACTATTGACCTTGGTGGATGAAATTCTACCAGGACATAATCTTCTACGTTAGGGTTAAAACCTTGGGTACTAAACAAATTTGGATTTAAAACTGGAAGATCTTGTTCATACTCTCCACTATCACTGTCACTGTCACTCTCAAGGATATCTATTTCATCCTCCTCTGAATCTGTATTATCGTCATTAACAAAACGCACTCTCTTCTTAGCTTGCCTATTTTCATTCATTTGCTTCTTTCTTTTAGCTTCCAACCTTTCTTGTTCAATAATGTTTTTTTCCGGTGTATCTGTGGCAATAATACTTTTTTTACTTTTTCTGTTCTTCCTATTATTTTGACGAGGTTGGGCTTTCAATGCAGGCATAAATTGTTGTGGTGGAATAAATGATGGTCCTGCTTGACTTTCCGTATGTTTGGGGTTTTCTGATTGAATGTTATTAGTTGAAGAACTGTCATTTTCATTTGGCACAGTGATTTCATCGTTATGTTCACCTCCTTGAAGGTCTCTTGTATTATTAGAACTTTCATCATTTGGGCATGGTCTGTTTGTTACCTCACTTGGCAAAAAATCCTCATCTGTAAAGATATCCCGATCAAAGGGATATATACCGCATTTTTTAAAGGCATTGGCTATATTTGTAGGAGTCATGGAACGACTGTGTGCTATTCCAATACATTCAGCTAAATCATAAATAGATATCGGCCTACCAGGATTTCTTAGAAGCCACGACTCTATGGCACTGTTATAATACGTCTTGAACGGCGCATATAAACCAACGTCAAGTGGCTGTAATTTAGCCGATGTGTGGGGATGCAAAGTTACAATATTAACCCCTGCAGCTTTTGCCAAATCTAAGGCTTCGATTGATAAGTGAGATTCATGATTATCGAATATTAAAATTGATGGATTATCATGAGAGCTTCTGCTATGTTTAATGAAATGTTTCATTACCTCTACAAACAACTCCGAATTCATCCATCCTGTCGGCGTAGCAAGGCCTAAAGAGCCAGTGGGGGCGCCTTTTAACATGAAATCCTTATAATTTTTCCGCGGAAAAATTATTGCTGGTGGTAAAGCATAACCACCGGCACATATAAAACAGCACGTTGTTACTAGTGTCCCTTTCTCACCGCTGGTGACTTTACCCAAACACTTTTTCCCTTTTGGTGCCAATATTTTCTGAGTTTTTTGCACCGTTGTGGTTGCAGTTTCATCCAAGTTGTAAATTCTTGTACCGTCAGAAAATGCGGCATTTCGATTTATTACAGCATATAAGTTGTCAAAAAAGCGATTAACATTATCTCTGTTAAATGCTGTCGCACGTGCCAGGCTGCACGGCTCTGGTTTTCTCAGAGACAGATCTGTATGCCTGTTCCTAAAACTTCGGAGCCATTCCCTGCCAGCCATTTCTGCATTCCTCCATGAATCAGGAATTTTGATATTATTCCTTTGAGCCATTTGATATGCAACCTTTCTACATTCGACAGATGTCAATCCATAAAACATAAGTGCACAAGTTTTCAAGTAGGTCTTAAGAGCATCTTCTTGTTCACGTGTGAAAATCATGTTCGTCTCGTAGTTAGGAACAAATCTTATGTTTTCGTTTGGAGCACACTTTCTTTTTTCAACGTATCGCCTTAATGTAGGATATGCTAAATTACTTTCTACTGCTGCTTTTCGAATACTCATACCCCTGGTTACTAAGTCCAATGCTGTCCTCATTTGATCAACAGTATGTGCGCCTTTCTTTCTTTCTATTTTCTTAACGCGACCCATCCTGAAAATAAAAATAAATCTAAAAACTTGGAAGGGTACACAGTGAACCATGATTCATTGTGTCCCAACATAGTTTGGTTCATTGTGTACGTACCGCACCTTATAACAATCAAAGACCAATAAGTCATTATCTACAACAGTGTATTTTAGAGTTATATACCAAAACACTAACTAATGTATCAATGTATCGTACCACAGAGAATAAATTAAAATAATTCACCCATGTAAGAAATAAAACCGAAAATGCTTACCTTGAAAATTTTACTCGATGCCTTCAAATTTTTATAATCCGTTATAACACGTGCACATTTCGTGGTGGCAAAACAATAACTGAGATTTAGTTCTAGGTTATCTAGTACATTCGTACAGTGGTGCCGGCGTTTTTCTAAAATGCGTATTATTAACGAAAGATTGATTGGTTCATTGTGTACGTGTGGTTCATTGTTGAACATATGACCCTATATCAAAATTCCTTCTCTTCATGAAGAATTAATTTTAATGCGGCAGTTTGAACAGATAGCTGGTTTTAAAAAAGTAATTGGTACTATAGACTGTACTCATATCAGAATACCTAAAATACAAGGACCGAGTGGACAATATTATATAAATAGGAAAGGATATAGTTCCTTAAATGTTCAGGTGAGCTGTTATACATATTTTTGTAATATAGGTATGTGTTTTAATAAGTTTTGTTTTAGGTGGTTAGTGACAATCATTTAAAAATAAGAAATATTGTTGCTCATTGGAGAGGAAGTACACATGACTCCCGCATTTTTAATGAAAGTACCTTAAAGCAGAATGTGGAAGTGACCACCATATGATTATTGCAAAAGTAATCGTGACATTTAAGAAAGAACAATCAAGTCACAAAAATGATGAAGTAACAGACATAGGAACAACCATAGAAAACATAAAATATAACCTGGAAAGCTTTAAACAAGATTCGACAAAGTTCTTATATAAAATTAGAATAGCTCAGAAAATAAAAAATATAGAAACAAAGGACTTAGACCCCGAAAGTCTGTATGAGGTAATTAAAAAATATATTCATGAAGCGGCAAATGAAGCACTGGGAAAAGTTGAAAATCGGAAAAAAGGAAAACCTGAATGGTTGTCAACGGAACTAGAAGAGAAAGTTCTCAAGAAAAAACAAGCATATCACATATGGCTTCAATCCAAAGATCCTCAAGACAGAGAAATATACGCTAAATGGAATAGAGAAGTTAAAAAAGACGTGGATAAGGCGAAAAATATAAACTGGGAGGCTAAGTGTGATGAACTGGACAGATTTATGGGTGGAATAAAAGTGGCGCAAGCTTGGAAAACATTAAAACAGTTTAGGAAAAATGAGAAAAATGAAGACAACATTTCTCTCATAAAGTTAAATGAATGGGAAGAATATTATACGAAACTGCTGAAAGAGGATAGAGTAGAGTACAGATGGGAAAACATAAGGGAATTAATAGACAACAGAGACGAAAGACAGGAAATCCCTATAATAACATTATCTGAATTGACGGAAACCTTAAAAGAGGTTAAAAACGGAAAAGCCGCAGGGCCTGGAGACATTCCCATAGAGCTGGTTAAATATGGGCCGACTGCACTTTTAGAATTAATAGTAGACCTTTTCAATAAATGTATGTGTGGAGACCAGGAAATTCCTAAAGATTGGAATAAATCTTATATAAGCTCCATATATAAGAGAGGGAATAAAAGAGACTGTTCCAATTATAGAGGTATTAGTGTGACGAGCTCTGTGGGCCGGTTGTACGGCAGAATATTAAAGAAGAGGGTTGAAAGACAGATACAAGATATTGAAGAACAAAGCGGCTTTCGTACCGGGAGATCCTGCCTTGATAATATATTTATCCTACGACAAATAATTGAAAAGCGTGTCGAAAGAAGTAGAGAGACCCATTTGATATTTATAGACCTTGAGAAAGCATATGATAGTGTCCCGTTAAAGAAAATGTTTGAGGTCCTCAAAAGGTCCGGATTGGATTCGACGTATATCCGAGCGATATATAAATTGTACGAAAATGCAGTTAGTTGTGTAAAAATTGGAACCAGAACCTCAAATGAATTTAAAGTCACTAAAGGCCTAAAGCAAGGATGCTGTTTGTCACCGACACTCTTTAAAATATACGTCCAAGAAGCATTGAGGAATTGGAGAAATAAATGTAGATTTATGGGCATCGAAGTGGGACAAGAAACTCTGTATACATTGTTGTTTGCAGATGATCAGGTGGTGGTTGCAACCGATGAGGAAGATATAAATTATATGAATCGAAAATTATTTGAGGAATATGCCAAATGGGGGCTTACTGTAAACATAAGCAAAACAGAATATCTAAAAATTGGAGGAAATACCACAGATCTGAGGCTTGAAAACGCAGTCATAAAAGGCTGCAACCAGTATAAATATCTAGGAAGCATCATATCAGCAGATGGCAGAGTTAAGATAGATGTACAAAACCGAATAACCCAAGGGAAAAAATGCATCCGAATACTGAATTCATTACTGTGGTCTAATAAAATAAAGATGCATACCAAACTTCGCGTATACAGAGCAATTGTAGAACCAATTACCACATATGGTGCCGAATGTTGGACGATGACAAAGAATGAACGAGATAAATTAGACGTTGTGGAAATGGATTATCTTAGAAGGTCATGTCGAGTATCGAGAATGGAAAGAATTAGGAATGAGGAAATACGAAACCGTACAGGAATTAGAGATACTCTCTCAGATAGAATACAAGGAAGGCAATTACAATGGTATGGTCACGTGATGAGAATGGAGGAGGAGCGGTGGCCAAAGAAAGCCTTAATTGTATGTTCCGCCAGAAAGAAGGAAAAGGGGAAGACCACCAAATTCCTGGAGAAGAGAAATTACAAAAACAATGCAATCTAGAGGCTTAGAAGAGGGAGATTGGAGAGATAGGAAAAGATGGAGGCTGAAATGCGGGAAGCGGCAACCGCCGTAGGACCCCCGTTATATGATGATGATGACCTTAAAACAACGGTTTGAGGGAGGAGAATTTCATGGTTTGTTATTGGGAGACTCGGGTTATGCTTGTTCCCCATATTTATTTACACCAGTTTTAAATCCTTCCAACGATACAATTATGCACATATCAGAACACGTAATACTGTTGAAAGATGTTTTGGTGTTTTTAAAAACAGATTTAGGTGTTTACTGACTGGATTCCGAACATCCTTAGATAATACAAAAATGTATATTGTAGCTTTGGCAGTATTACATAATATTGCAATTTATTTAAACGAGGAACCTTTCCCTGATGATGGTGATGTGCAATATCCACCTCAACCATTAATAGCACCAGTAATGCATAATAATTGTCGGTAATTTGCTTGCTGGGAATCTCCCTCGGGAGAGAGAGACTCTGGAGAAGCCAAATTATCCGCTCTATCCATGTTCCTGTGGGACCTTAAGTCGTATGTTCGGTCTGTGGCCATAGACACGGGCTATGCCACTGTTACTAGGAAGCAAAGGATTAAATAAAGAAAATAAAGGTTTATTATTATTAATTCTGTAATAATATATAAGCAAACAACAATAAATGTCTTAAAAGTAAGAATCTGAAAGGTAAAGTACGTAATTGCCTTTAGGTCACTGATCTAGAGGACAATTACGCATTAATCTAATTCTAAGAATCTGCAAGAAACGTTATTAGATTAAGAGACAATTAAAGTCAAATTCGTATGCACATGTGAAATTAATACACATATAAAATTCCCAGCTGTCAAAATTAAAAGGACATTTCAAGTATTCGTAGAAAGCTGAAACCTGTGGGAACCTATGTGGTATAATGTAATTCGGGATAATCAACAATAAAATTGTAATAAAACTACGCTGTAAAAAAAGTTATTGCAATAAAACAAAATATTATTTATGAAAATTTGCTAAGTCGATAATGATAGTAAAAATGGTTAAAAATAAAATATAAGTTATTTCCTGTAATAAAGTAAATAATAATTCAATTGTTCATAAATCGACAAAGTAAATAAGGCAATAATTAAATACAGTGTAGATTAAAAATATTCAAATATTACAAGTTAAAATCCTGAAAGAGAACAAGTAATATTTAAAGTTAAAGGTTCAATGTCCCTGAAAGGTAGAAAATCAATAATGTTGAAATATCAAGAAAGAACAAGTTTTATAGTCAAGGTCAAGTCCTGTAAGAGAAAATCAATAATGTTAAAATATTACGATTTCTTCAAAGTACCTATAAGACATATAAACAATAAATAAAGTACAAGATAAAATTACCTGGAAATATATTGCAGTGTAAATTCACATGTAAACTTTACATAAGAAAAATTAAAGTTTCTTACCCATTTATTGCTGTGTAGCTGAAAGAGAACAATTATGATCGGTTTTTAGGTATATCTTCCGGCACCGGGTGCAGATGCCGGGAGGAAAGGATTTAGGTGAAAATAAAACACAAGTATGTATTTATTATGCAGTCTCCCTTGAGGATATCTGCCAAATTTGCGTCTAAGCCCTTTGATTAAGGGACTTAGCGAATTCACCTAAAAGAGAAATTTCTTACACGAGAAATTCCCGCGATTATCAGAAATTTGGACAAGTCCAAATAGCACAGATAATCTCGGCTGCGATTCGCGACGTCTCTAAGGAATTATTAGCAATTTCGACTAAGTCGAATAGCATAAATAATCCCTTTGAAAATGGCCGCTGGCTTTCGCACGAAAACCGACAAAGTTCACGGGGAACTTCGCCAAAGGTAGCTTGGAGATTAAAAAGTCAGAAGTTGGTTTGAGACTACAGAGAACTTAATCAATCTGCAGAGCTCGACTTGCCTTAGGAGGCTAGAGTGGCGGACATATCCTGACCCACTCTGATTTCCTGGCCGTGGTGCGTTTCCTTTATAGAGGAAAAAGTAGGTCAAAGCGTAACGGATTTTCAACCGCCACTTTGCCTACATCGCACGACGACCAATGCCCAATTTTCTGTATTATCATTGGTTGCAACTCTGGTGCATTTTGGCCAATGATAATATCGAAAATGAGCAACAGCGTCCAGAATTATGATTGACTGCACCTAGGTTGCATATTGACCAATCCCAATTCAGGAGGCTGGGCGACATAATGTACAACGGGGTGCTGCATCAAGATCTGTATTTATAGAAGAAAATTTTTGAGGAAAATAAAACTATATGTCATATGCAATCATTTTTATTTATATATTTTCTTCCTTTTTCTTTTTTAGAATATCCTCCTGAAGCTTTAAATTTTTCATAGTCTGAGCATGTTGCTCAGACATCTGCTTTATTCTTAGCTTATGTTGATACATCAAGCGTTTGTCCTCCCGGACCCTAAAATGGTGCATATCATCATATGAAGCCTTAGAAAAATTAAAAGTATTCGTGGATGTCTGAAATGAAATTAAAACAAAAATGTTATATATTATAATTATTCTTTTTATATAATCATACCAATGTTTTATTTGTAGCTCGCTTAGGTGTTGGTATTGATTTAGCCATTCTAGCATCTTCAATGTCATGATGTTTTCTTCTTCTTAAAGTGTCCTCTCCTCAATGGAGGTTG